GATAGCACCCCACAACACCCACCACACCTCCCTCTTGTAGGGCAAAACCTGGCAGGATCTGGGGGAGGCTAAGGGGGGGTTGGGGGAGCCCTTGCAGTCCCTCTGTGACATGGTCTGGGGTCACAGTGGGACATTCCACACAGGACAGAGCTGGAGGCCCTTGGGTGAAGTCAGAGAAGGAGGTGGAGATTGTGGAGGAGATGTTTCCTTCTCACCCTCCTGCCACAGGAGTTAACCCAGAGGGGCGGGGGGGAGAAAAGATGGAAAACCTGCGGCCAGATGCGTTTCCAACGCTCAAGAATCTCACCTCTGGTGGTGCGGCTTGCAGGACTGATTTTCTGAATGTTGTAGACAATATTAGCTATGAAAGTAGCTGTGGAAATGTGGGGGCCTTTTGGGGAGGACTGGGCAGGGCTGACGGGTATAACAAGAGCCCTGTCTGATCATCCCTTCCTGGCTCAGGACCGGTTTGGCAGCCAGGACTCACGGGTCCTCTTCCTGAGGACCTTCCTCTGCCCCTGCCTTGCTGCCCACTCCCCAGGTGGAAGCCCCTGGCACCAAGGGCCACTGCTTGCCTTGCAGAGGGGACTGCCCACCCCGAGCTCCCACGCATGGTGGCTGCGAGGAGTTGAGGGTTGATGGTGGTCCCTGCAGGGGAGACACCTGGGGATCCCCTGAGCCTCCAAGCCCTCTGTGGACACCATCCTCTCACTGGTGCAGACATCTATTCCACATCTTCTGTCATGTGGAGCACCTTACATGTTCTTAACTGGGGTGGCAATATGTTTAATCTCACTTGTCATCTTCTTGGGTAAGAGTGTGCTGAAGGGTTGTGAGCTTGCTGACTTGGAGTGTGACGCGTCTTTTGCTTGCTTTCCAGAGATCCTTATGATTTGGGACAGCGTGTCTGAACGCATTAGACAGTACTTGGCACAGGATAGGGTGGGTCTTGCATCCTGTTCCTCCCCTCGTGAACCCCTGAGAGCGTGCCTTGCCCGGACAATGCCGTGCCATCGAGTGCCATCGCTTCCCCGCTCTGAAAGCAGAAACAGTCTCCTGGCAGGACACAACTGTGTGTTGCCACGTGTGGCACAGACCAGCTTCTCTGGCACCTGAGATAAAAATGAAAGCCCAGATAAAGTAGAAGAAAGTGTTAAGCACTTTCTGGGTCTTCTCTCACCTCTGCTGCCAGAATGGGAAGACCATTCCCTGGTGCCTCCTCAAAGGTTTATCCCTGTTGCTGGAAACCCCTCTGATTATATCCAGGGAATGTTGGCTCTGCTGTCACTTTTCCCAATAGCTTTCTTGAGCAGAGCAGAGGAGAAAGAGCAAAAAAGACCTGGAGTATGTGCTTTCTCTCCAAAGCTTCCTCAGTGTCTCATCTTGGCCTTTGTAGGCTCGGGGTGGGCAAGGCACAAGGCAGCATCCCCATGCTCTGACAGCTCACTGGTGAGTGTCTTCCTCTCCAGGATACTTAAAATTGTTCCTTCTTTTCACCCCCACTTGTTCTCAGGGTGTTCAACTGTTAGGAATCGGGACGTTCTATGTTCTTAAAGACTACACGTGCATTGTGAACGACGAGGTTTCGATTGTTCGGAGACCCATGTTTCATATGTCCAAGGTGGTTGCAGATGAATGCAACCTCGGCTACAGTGAAGATGATGTTCCTGGTAAGAAGATGGATTTAAACCTTTGCTTGCTCTTGCATATGCTAACCGCTGTTAAGGCATGACTGAATGCCTAAAGATGTCCTGAGAACAACCTCGGCTTCTTCAAGCTGAACAGGCCACCAAGGAGCAATTTCTGAAAGACCCCTTGGGTGTCCTTTTTTAGTGATACGCCTTCAGCTACAGGATCTCCTCTTTAATTGCTCTCACACTTGGCTCCATATCATTCATGGTTATGCAACGTTAGGACTACTGCTTTCAGACTGTAATTATTTGAGCTGCTTTTTCTAATGGAACTGAGATAAAGCTCATGCCCCGCCTTTATGGCACCATCTACCTACTCATAAGAGCAAAGGCCAGAAT